CAAATTAAATCCCCAGAACCTAAATAAAGGTGGAAGGAGAGAACTGACTCCACAGGGTTGTCTCCTGACTTCCACATGCATGTTGTGATGCATGCAGTGATGCATGTACATACACATATGCACACATACACACACATAGTAAATAAAAATGAAACCCTGATAGGAATCTGGGCTTTAGTTTGTGTTTCTCCTCTCTTACTAAATGGAGAAAGTCTGTTTTCTTGAAATAGACATATATTTATCATCAGCTGGACATAAAAATTAAACAGATTTAATCCAAAAATACTTTGAAACACAGCATTTTCAGCAAGTTTTAAAGGGTTGGATTAGTTTTCATATACTTGCCAATAAATATACATTATCTCAAAAACTGGGATTAATATAGATTACAATTCCAACTGTAACAGTTAGTAGCAAGTTGCAGCCAAAGGAGTGTCAGTGAAGGAAAAAAAAGTTTTCTCAGGCATAGAAGAAATACCTTTAAAGCATATTTCTTTATAAAGTTTTTCTCTACAAAGCAAGTCATTGAAAGCTGTTTTATAGCGAATGAGTATAGCTGGATTCACATTAAGCAGGTTTTTACATTGCAAATTTGAAAATCAGACACTAACTTCTAGATAATGCCAAAGGTTTTAATATGTAAGGCATAAGGAACTTTTGTTAAAAAAAATAAAATAAAAAAGACATTCATAGGAATTCAGTTAATCCTATCCAGCTTAGCCAGTATTTCTATATGACAGAATTATTATACTTCTAAAGACATTTATGTTGGAAGAACTTGAACCTCTTGAAATAGGATAAAGTGGGACTCCCCTCTGGATAACATAATAGAGTTGAAAGGAGGGCGGAGAGTCTATTAAGCCCTGGCCTCACAGAGCAAGGCTGGAAGGGGGCCCAGTAAGTTCTTCTAACGGTCACTGGCCTGCCCTTGCTTCAGTTAAGCAGTGGAAACCAAACTCAGGCAGAGCACCACTGGCTGCCCTGAGGGGGCTGCCTGGGCATGTCACAACACAGGCTTCTTGTTCCTGTATCTTCTGGGCAAAACAATTTAGATTAAATACAGTCAGCATGCTGGGAGTCAGCTTAAATAGTAAGGGGTAGCTGATGGATTTCCAAGGGTGGATTGGTACTGTTTGAAACATCCCCAATGTCCTGAATAAACTGTGCTAATACTGTACTCAGAACACTGCTTTGAACCTACTGTCACCCCAAGCATGCAATACTGAGGCAACTATGTGTGTTTTACACGGGCCCATCCCAAAGCCTTTGCCATTCAACCCCAGCTCCACTGGTCCATTAAAACTTACCCTACCTAAGATGGAAAATTAAACAGAAAACTGCTTCCTGTTTTCTCAAAGCATTGTGTGGTTTGGAACACAGATTTTTACCAACCCATTTTACAAGCCACTGCTGGCCTTCCAAGGGAGAAAACCAGAATGCTTTACCTTCACTTCTGTCCACTAGGATCATGGTGCTCTTGAATATTTTGCTTTCTTAAACATTTAAGATGCCCCAAAGTTGCCATCCCAGGCTACACTTTATATGGCATGTTCTTCAGATGAAAAAGGGCATACCCCACCCCCAGCAATCATAGAACCACAAGTATGTCACCGGTACCTGCTGCACTCAGAGGCCCTGGCACCTGCACACCCTGTACTAATTGCAGAGGGCGTCCCTCCCTCTCTGACCCCACCACTCCTGCCTCTTCAAACACCTGTAGTTCAAGTTGGTCCGAAGAGGAAATTCTTGCTTCTTTTCCTTCTCCTCCCTACCACACCTCTATGTGCCCCTTGGCAACAGGCTTTAATTTTACAGGTGAGGGAGGAGGAAAGAGAGGCATATTGTCACCAACACAGTGCTTCCCTTGTCCACAAAGGATCTTGTATGCGGTAGGACAACAGCTAATGTGGTGGCCAACCTGCTCTCCAGGAGCTGCCGCCTTCCATGAGAGACTGCTAACTCATTCCCTCACTCTTTCTACTTTCATTTCAATTTTTACAATTTTTCATGTTTAGCTAAGTTAAGAAGAGCACGCTGGCTTGAGCCAAGGAGCAAAGAGTAGTTTGATGACATGAAAAGTCCTACCTTTTTCATCAAGGCTGAGCTTAAGACACTAATATTAAAAGGTTTGATGAACTATGAAATAGGAATCCTGCAAGATCTTTATAAACAAACTAGATGTTCCCTCCTTCCATGCAACTTAATAGTAGCACCAATTCTTTCTTTAATTTCTCGTTCCCAGCACTCAGCTAAGAACCCTGAAGAGAGGTGGGAACACAAGACCCCTCTCATCCATACAGAGACAAAATTAGGTAACAAGAATAAGTACATGGAAGGAAATCACTGAGGTGCAATGGAGCATCTAATATGGGGGCTGCTCAGCTCAGATTGAGGAAGACTATATTAAATCAAGTGTTAGTTAAGAGCCACTTGTGGCTTACTCATTCACTGGCAATACAGAAAGCTAGACCAATACGTGTACCTTTCTGTAGAAATACTTGTAAGGGCTGGGGATCTAATTCAATGGCACTTATTTAGCAGGTACTGATCCAAAGAATTTTAAAACAAATCACCCTCAAGTTTTCAGGATTGTATCTCAGTGAGAAAGAATGATAAACAGGTGGGTCTGTTACTGAAAATATTTGTAACTGTCAGAAAAAGCCTGATGTGTTTACAAATCAGAGGCATATAATGCCGACATGAGAACTAAGAGTAAAAATAAGAGCCTGTTCAAAAAAGGCAGAACTGGCCAAATCCTTGAAGGAAGATTAAACTCTCTGAAAAAGATGAAATGTCCAGAGCTAAGAAAGTCATCTTGCTCCCAAAGAGTTCACACTGAAGGTCTACCTATGGTAGAGAGCTCGGAAACAGAACATGAGAACAGTGGCTTTGCAGGGAGAAGTTTACTACAGTGAATTTACAAAGCAGCTGGAGAAGCAGGGTAAGATAAGATAAACTTGGCCTTTCCAAATGGTAAGAAAACCTTGTCATATACTATATGTTTATATTTTATTTAATCTCTTATGACTAGGGTGAAAGCTTGCCCCCAGACAACAGCAATTACGATTGTTTTCTAGAAACTTCTTTAAAGTGCCACATTTGGCAGTACAAATGAGTTTGAGTGTAAGAGCCCGGAGATTTCTATAGTTGAATGTCTAAAATGGTAAACTGTGCCACACAGTGGCTTATGTTTTTCATAGTAATTCAAATGAACTCCTATTTTGATAGTAAATGTCATTTAATAGTGTACTTGTCATTTGAGCCTCACTGCAAAATTAGTGCAGAGGAGAAAACAATTTTTAATGTAATCTTGATTTTACCTCATATACTGTATAATCCAAAAAATCAACTTTTTAAAGATTATAAATACACTACCAAACATATCACTTGAAAATTGTATAAGGCTGAGCTTCATACAAGCTAAAAAAAAATAATCTCATAAGAATACATGAACTATGTAGCAGAAGTATTTATAAAATCCATGGAAAATAAAAGTTGTATCATTCTTTAAAAAAAAAAAAAAAGAATGCAAATTAGCTGAATAAGCTCACAGAAAGCCTTGAAGCTAAATGAAAAGGATCTGTGACAAAGAGGTTCACCCTCCATTCATAGGACATGTCCAAAATTAGCTGGCCAGAGACAAAGCAGGCTGCATCCTGACTAGGACTGGAGAACTCTGGGAAACACAGAGGGACTTCTGACAGGTACAATTTCTGTCTTGGGGATGGTAAAATGTTCTAAGATCAGATTGTGGTGACAAGTTGAACATACTAAAAATCAATCAAAAGCTTAAATGAGTAAGTACTGTGGTATGCAAATCACAGTTTGATAATGCAAGTAGGGCAACCATGAAAGCAATGCACAAAAGAAAGAAAAAGCCACCTGCTGAAGCTGAGAGTCCTCACCATGCTGAGGAGAGGTCTAGAGCAAGCTCACAGCCCACAGCCCACTCCTAGTACTCTCTCAAGTCTGGAGCCATTTTCAAAGTCCAAGCTGGATGAACTCGTGATTTGTTTTTCAAATTACACTTGAAAGAAACTGCAGGTAACTGGAGGAAAATAAGGCGCTCAAAATTAATTCCATTTGATTACATATTAATGTGGAAGTGGAGTTCAGTCAATAATAATACACAAATATCCCTCTAAGCCATGTGCAGAACTCAGTCAAAAGAAAGGTGTTAAATGTTCTGAAGAGCTTCACTATGAAATAAAACTACAATTTTAGAGCAGGGGAAGGCCTGAGCAATCCCCTTCCAGTCCCTACCTGTCTGCTATCTGAAAGGCACCTCAGATATTCATTCCCAAGTCCCCTACAGAACCACACAAGCAATCTGTTTATGATGGGGCATGGAAATTGGGCTCTTAAAGTGCTTGAATTCTAATATCACATAGGTCTACAGACTATTCAATTAATCAAAATTCTTGATTTATAGACAAAGAAAGAAGTGTGCAAAGAAGTCCATCCAATGTTGCTTGAGCCACTTAGAACCTGTGTCTTCTCACCCTCAGTTCAGCAGAACCCCATCTGCCACATAAGTATGGGAGCTCAGTTAAGGTGTCCTTAGAAAATCTTGGCCTCAAAACAGTGGTCAGATCCCATTATAAGAAGTACTAGAGAATGTACACACTACCGGTCACCAGGGGAAAAAGTGATAAAGACTGGCTGTGAAGACTGCTTCATATTTGGTAATTTGGTTGCCCTGCTACGGTGCCCCTGATGCCCAACAAATTTTTTGGAGCTTCACAAGCCAAATCTAGTAAGGAAAAAACCATTTTTTTAAACCATATGAGCCTAGTGATACAAAATAAACATTAAGGAATATAAACACTGATGCTTCATTCTCTCAACTGCACATGACCCCAGAGCTGTCTGCAATGAACAGGGAGGGCCCAGGCAAACTGATCTTCATGGACCACAATGAACCCCTCTTACAAAGTGCCTGTGAGTGCTCTGGTTGACGTGCATCAAGCCATTACATTACCAAGCAGTGTGCTTCTTACCTATAATTCCACTGTCCTTGCTTTCCAGGGTGGAACTAGGGCTGCTAATGGTCTCACAGGGACTTTTGTTGGCTGCCGTCTTGCTGACACAGCTATTCAAGGTTGAGCAGGGGCTATCGGTGCTAGGAGAGGCGGTGCTGCTTGTTAGTGTGGAGCAAGGACTGATGCCTTGGCTCAGAGCTGTGCACTGCAAGACGAACGGAAGGAGGAGTTAGCATGGCTTACACGGATGCTTCAAAACATGCTTTTGTTTTGGATGATAAAACAATGAAACTAAACACAGGGCAAATGGAAGACAGTATTTCACCTCTAGAGAGAGAGCTATTGATATACAGGGATATACATGGTATTCAAATCTTAAAAGGGAAGTATCTTTGTTCTGGTCCCCTCTTTTGTATTTTCTTTTCTTTCTTTCTTTCTTTCTTTCTTTTTTTTTTTTTTTAAACTAAATAGCCATCTTAGCAACAGTTTAGTGGGAACATAAATTTGTAAAACAGAGATAGCCAACAGGCAGACTTCCTTTCATTTAAAGCCTGTGGAAGACAAATGTGTTATTTGACCTCTGGACAGAAAACCTGGGGACTGTGTTTTTGTAATGTTTCATGAGCACAGCAGCCTGATTCAATTCCTAAAGATTTATGGGCTCTGTGTTCGGGAAAGGAGACTGGTGACCACTGTAGTCTCAATCAACCCACGATGCCTCCTCGCAGAGACCCTGGCAGGGAGAAGCTACAGTCTCCCACTGCTAGTCGCCTATCTCAGAGGTGGCAGAAGGCAACTGGCTATGCTCCTGTGGACAGGGAGTGACTTCCCAGAGGACAAACCATTTGCTCTTGTCTCATTTTGCCTCTACCTCATCTCCTATAAATCTTTCCTTCATCCTACTAACTCCACCCCCCCCAGCCCCAATTCCCAACAGCTAGGAAAGCATAGACCAAAACAATCAGATGAGAAGAATGGAGCAATAGAGCTAGAAGCAGATTGCTATGAAACAGTTCTTTAAGCCATGTTAAATCATGTAGCCACTATTCTCAGGGTAGTGACTAGAAGCTTAAGATGGAGATTTTCTTAAGTTCTGATCCCTTCTGCTTGTCCCTAACCCCTCTCACCTATCCCCCAAAAGACCCAGAAACAAACTGTTGCAATAAATTTCAATACACAAGAGCCCAGAACCCATTTGAATAAACAATGGCCCTCCCACCCCCGCCCCCTAGAAGGTGTATATCATTGCTTCATTTATCCTCTGAGCAGGTATGAACTGCAGTATCTTCCTCAGGCATTACCATGGTTTCATTTTTGTCTTCAATGGTTATGTGTGTGGCACTTGGGATCCCTTCTCCCAGTAAAAATCCCAGCCGTGTCAACAGTTCTTGAGCTGCCGGTGAACAGCTCGGTTCATTATCAGCCTTTGCTTCTGGAACGAAGAAAGAAAACAATGAAGATGCCCCCCTGGGGAACTCCAGCATCACATCTGGATGAGCCTGTACTCCAGCTGCTTGTCTGGCACTTCTGTGCATTCTTACAAGTTGCATGAAGTTTGACAACGCTGCCTGTCCTCTAGCAACACATTCTAATGACGAGGTTGTGACACGGTAAGACACTTCAAGTACAAAGGGTGAAGTATCCGACATGAACCAGAAGATCCCCATGTCATTATTTGATAGCAATTTCTATCCACACATCATGTGAAAAATGGGCACCACACACACCCCTTTGTAGGAAAGGACTTCTACTTCACTTTATCCTCAAAGAACACTAGAGTCAATGCTACAGGAGGCCAGCATAATGGAAAAACCAAGCAGCATACTTGCTAAGACCCAGGTTATTTAAATGCTGGGATAAAACTAAAACTCAAATTCTCATTCAGCAAGACAGGGGAAGGATGACTTGAGTGGAAAACTTGCTGTACATATTCCACAGTAGTACAATTCAAAATCAGGATTCCAACTCAAGTGCCAAGCACCAAAAATCCACACTGAATCAAAGACCAGTGAAAAAGATCACAAGAGACAGGATTTACTAATGCACTACTGTCCACGCCCAGATGAAAAATGTACTCAGAAGGCCCCAAATAATGCCAGGAAGCACAGCCTTTCTTGGGTGCTTCCTCAGGTTGATCATCTATCTGTCTTTCTGCACTTAAGAAAATGTCAACATTGGGTTTTATTTAAATGTTGATCTGGAGGTTAATCTTAACTCCCAAAGCCAAAGGGCACTCAGCATTTGTCAATTACGGCTGACAAAATATCAGCTAACACCTCTCTCCCATTTTAAGTCAGTGTCTGTTGGTAGGAGGTAACACACAAAAGCAAATTGTGCTTACAGAGGTAGAAACTTAAGAAAAATTTTCAACTCACAATATAAACTATCTTTTCCTCTTTTTCTTATCTATTCATTTAGATACATACATAGAGTAGGTGGAGGAAAATGGGGGACCAATGCAGTGATGCTACTATTGAGCTATATCACCAACAAAGTTCAGAAGTAATATCTTTTGTAAACAACTTAAAAAAAAATCTAAACATGTAGAACTTTTTAGAAGACCTTATCCTGAACTGTGTACCCAGAATGGCAATTGTGAGGGAACCAGGCTGGTGGCATCTTCATGAAAGGAAAGCCTCCTCACCACTTACTTACTTGCTCCTCAAAACTGTCAATGTTTGGGGCATGAGATGAGATGTCTACAGGTTGGATTTTTTTAGTCACTCTAGAACTGGAGTGGTAAGGTAACTAAGACTTGATTGTCCTATGTTTGGAGTCTTGATTCTGGATCATTTGAGTTAAACTCGTAACATGAAGAGTTCCTCCATGCCAATACAAGGGAAGGGAGCCACCCCAGGGTGGGTGGACCACACCCCTAACATAACTCTAGAGAAAGTTCCTTCTCACCAGAGACATCAAACCATGATAGATTCTCAAGGCAGATGGGCACTTAGGAAAGGAGGGTGGAAACCAAATCAAATCAATACAACCCAGGTACACCCAAAAGCTGAACTTTCCTAAGGACAGGTTCTAAACACCCCACCCTCATCCTCCATGCTTAACCCCTCTTTCCCTGATGTGCCTCAGGGCTCAGGCAGTTCCTGTCATTTTAGGTGACAGGAGGACTTGGGGGAGAGAAGGGCAATATAAAAAGGGGATTAAGTGGGTGAGGGGGCCGATCTCGGCAATGTCTCTATTCCATGGCCCCTTTCGTTTGAAACAATCTCCATACTGCTGTTCCATTCTGACTATGCCCTAGGAAGTCTAGCTTCTGGTTCAACCGGAAACACTGGGGAAACAGCCAGAAACTACTCCCAGTTGGCAGCTGCTGCAGTGGCCAAGCACAGTTGTACACCCTGGTTTGGCTGCTGCAACATTCACCCTGTCCACAAACAAAGCCACAGCCTGTGGCTCAGTTGGAATTCACTTGAAAGCCTTGGATCCTGTGTAGGGCCCTGCATGCAGCAAAGGGACAATAGTACCCCACAGGAGCATCATCACATCTCAACACTGTCTACAGAGAGATACCTCAAGTTCTCAAAGTTTTCATAAAATTAAAAAAACATATAAAACCAACTAGTCACCCAGGCATGTGGTACATGCCTATAATCCCAGCTGAGGAAGAAGGACTGTCACTGTGAGTTTGAAGTCAGCCTGGGCTACAGAGTGAGTACCAGTCCAGCCAGGGCTACACAGCAAGTCTTGAAAAAAGAAAGAAAAACAAAACAACAATGAAACAACAAGACGGACTAGTCATTCAAATCTCCCCCTCTTTAAATGAGTTGGGGAGCTATGGTGGCAATTCCAAGTGTAATGGCTGAGTTTAAAAGAGACAAAATTTATGATGAGCTATTCCCTTAATCGTTTAACCTGTGCTTGGCTATTATTAAGGTTCTAATACCCTACTGGGGTTGAGGATGAAGAGACGGCACTGTCTCATTTTATGTCCATAAAATCACTGCAATTTTATCTTCAAAGGCTTCCCAATGGTCTTTTCACAATGTCTTTTCTCTAAACTGTCATTCTGGTGATCTTCTCCTTAAAAGGTTTACCTCAGTCTGATTTCTTAATGTACACTCTGCCATCCACATCACTCTTTAACACAGACTCTTCTCTAACTGAACTTTCCATCCTGGCACACAATGAGTGGAGTGACAGTGTCATTCTGGGAGAGATGAGATGCCCAGGAGCCCACCCAGTGACTTTACTATGAAACAAAAGCTCATTTTTTTTTTTTTAATTGTCAATACCGTGCTTTGGAAAGCCAAATGATCTTTAAGTTACTTGGTCCTCCAAAATGACCTCCAAACCAAATTCTAATGAGCTTCTTAAATGTAAGAGTCTATTTTTGTTCTTGTAATTGATATTAATTCACTCATCAATAATGGACATACCTTGTCCAGTATCACTGCGATAAGGACCAGAGAAAAGAAAGACCTCATTTCATTTCACATCTCACAGATTTTAAATATCTGAAGAATTTATTTGCAGTATCTGGAGCCCAGAGAGTAACTGGCCTCATGCATCACAGGAACCCACCAGGCAAATGGACAATGGTGGTCTTCCCAGTAACTCTCCCCACGGAATGCTCAATATCACAACTTCATGGAAGGTTAGCCCACACGGAAAGCTAAAGGGAAGTTCTTGGAGCTCTTCCCTTCTGCTTCTTTTTAGCTCTGTGAATGTTTAAGTACTACACATTTGAGGCACAAACATCAAGAGCAGTCCACACTGGCTTGCTTCTCAGTTACGCACTATCACTTCAAATCCCCAGTGCCCTTCATAGTCATCCTCTCACCCTTCCCTACCACCTCAGAAGACAGATGCATTCTCCACTCAAAAGCTATTCTAGACCTCTTCTGGTGTTGACTCTCTCAGAAACTCAATTTCCTGATCAGTGAAGTAGCCATACCCACTTCCTGTAGACTGTGAACCTCAAAACCAACAATGTGTGAGAAATACTTTATAATATAACCACAAGACGGTTAGTATCTCTAGATTTAACACCAACACCACACTTTTTCACTATTACTTCATTTTCATATTTCTTCAAGTTCATTTGCATTTTCAAATGTGTTTATATTTCTCTTACTTAAAATATAACTAGTTATAAATTTTTTGGTCCAGATAGTGTCTTCTGAACTCATCATTTCAAGACAACAAATTCTCTTCTTTTACTGATTACAAAACATTCTCACTACAGCCTGGGCTCAGTGCTTCACTTCATTCCCCTTCCATAAAGCCAGACTCAGTTAGAGGTCTGTTGTGACATGTGAACATCAGATGACGTCCTGTTCATGTCTAATTTTATTAACTTGGGTCTTCCCTTTCTTTAGGTAATTAATCTGACTGTGTTGATCTTTTTCAAAGACTCACTCTCCCCTTTACTGCTTCTTTGTGCTGGTTCTTTTTTTTTCTAGTTCACCAATTTCTGTTCTAATTTTTATTATTTCTTCATATCTACTGATTTTATATTTGGTCTGTTCTTGTTTTTCTAAACTCTTGAGGTACATAGTTATCTATTTGTGCCCTTTTTGATTTGGGGGGGGGGTGTCCCTGAAGGTCCTCCGTAGAGAATGGCCATTCCATTGAGAGGAGCCTCTTTCTTACCCTCATTCTCCTTGTATTCTATAAAGCACTGGGTGCTGTGGACAACTTTTGGTCATTCACTAGTTATGTGACATTTAACAACTGAATACCAAGTTTCCAAGATAGTATTTGTGACTTAAGTGTGCTAAATGAGATAGGCTCTGGACCTGACATTAAGTGCCTTTTCCTAATCTTCGCTGCTACCTACCCATGGTCCATCATTAATCTCTTGACCTCTTTGACTGCTATTTTCCATGTTTTTATGAATACTTATTTTTAACCACCAGAATTCCCTCTTTAGATTAAAAAAATGGTATTGAAAATGGATCATCTATCTGCTAATGTGCTGTTTCTAGTCTACGGCACTAAAATATATCTAGCATAGAAGGTATCTTTAAACTTTTTCAATGCATGTAATCTGTTGGAACATATTTCTGTTTTTATCAGTGCTAGGGACTGAACACAAAGCCTTGTACTCACTGATACAGTCCCAGCCCTGGAATATATTCTTTTGGTGGAAGCCCCAGAAAAACTGCAACCTAAGATAGATTTGTACTTGAGAAAAAGAGGAGCCTTTGAGCCTTTTCAGTTAATTGTGGCTATGCTTTTATTTTCTTTTAATATTTTCTTTATTATTTTTATTTTATGTGTATGCATGTACTGCCTGCATGTATGTAAGTGCACCCGTGTTGTGCAATGCGCGTGGACAGAAGAGACTGTCAGATCCCCTGGACAGGAGTTATGGACAGTTGTTAGCTGCCATGAGGGTGCTGGGATTCGAACCTGGGTCTTCTGCAAGAACAGTCAGTGTTCTTAACTGCTGAGCCATCACACCAGCCTGGA